GCGAGGAGAGGAAAAACAGAAGCAGAAAAAAAAGAGAAAAAGAGAAAAAGAAAAAATGAAAAAAACAAACTAATAAACAATCAAACAAACAAGACAGAAAGAAAGAAAAAGGAAAAAATTTTAAAAAGGAAAAAAATTTGGCTAGTGAAGAAAGAGAAGTGTGCATGGACTTGGAGCAGGGGAGGGGAAATTAGATATATGAGTAAGATCAATTTTTAACAGGGAGTAAAAAGAAAGGAGAAAAACTAAAGCAGAAACAGAGTAAGAGAAACAGGATGAAAAAGGGGAAAAGTGAGGAAGAGAATGTTGGCATAAAGGAAAGGTTGAGATAGAGTAAAATAATGCTAAAAGAAAAATAAAAGTAGAATGTAGAACACTAATCCCAGAATAAAATAAAATAAAGAAAAAATAAAACTTTTTTAAAAAGGTAAAATAATAGTAGTAATAATAATAAAACATATTGATAAAAAAGTAAAAATTAAGTGAAAAAAGAAAAAAGAAATAGACATTTTTAGTTTCTTAAGTAAAAGATAAAAAATAAAAAAGTGAAGTAGTGAAGGTCCATTCACTTCCTCTACTGTTCTGCCTGGCACGTCTGTTTCCTATCAGGTAGTCAGCACAGTGTTGAAGTTCCCTGTGATCCACAGCTCCTCTGTGTCATAAGCCACAACTTTGTTTTCAAGCAGGTGGGATCTCTCTGCTCACTTTCTCAGCCTGCCTCCAGTTGTATTTACACAAGAGTCAATTTCTGACACAACCCCTGGGTGCCTATGTTTTTGGATTAGTTTCCATGACAAAATGGCCCCTCTACCCAGTGTTTACACTCTTCTTTCCCTGACTCACTTAATACTGGGTTGCAGGGACAGACTGACCCAGAGCTGGTTTCCTGCTCATCTCTCCTTATTCTGATCCCTAGTTTCCACAGAAACAACTTTCCCCTGCAGTCTCAGTGAGTGTTTTTAATTGGAAGATCCTATGTATTAGACTTAGCAAGCAAAAGCAAGGAAGTAAAAAAAAAAGACAAAGGAACCACGCCGACTCCCATCCCCCGCCTCCCCCCCCCACCCCTGCCGCACTGCATGGCCGGTATAGAACTTCAGGCTGCCTTTCTGGGCACAGTTTCCCATGGCTGTGGGCTTAGATCTAGAGTCCCCCTCTGTCAGCAGCCCTGTGGACCCCCTTCCACATTCAAGGACTACCCTGATCCCAAGGGCCTCGGATCTGGTGGAGCACAGTCTCCCTCTGAGATTCTAGTTCCCACTGCGCACGTTTCTCCCTCCAGCCTGGATCCCAGATCACACCTCTCTCTAGGTGATCTCCGACCTTTCCATTCACGGATTGCCTCACCAGCTGTGTTTAATTAACCAATTCCAGGTGGATGTTGTTCGATTCAGCTGTTCCTTCTATCTGCTCTGTGAGAAGGCACAGGGCCCGTCTGCCTATTCGGCGCCACTTTCTCTCCCCCTAAACTAGTGGTTCTCAACCTTCCTAATGCCGTGACCCTTTAATACGGTTCCTCATGTTGTGGTGACCCTCAACCATAAAATTATTTTTGTTGCTACTTCATAACTGTAATTTTGCTACTGTTATGAATCGTAATGTAAATATCTGATATGCAGGATGTATTTTCATTGTTACAAATTGAACATAATTAAAGCATAGTGATTAATCACAAAAACAATATGTAATTATATATGTGTTTTCCGATGGTCTTAGGCGACCCCTGTGAAAGGGTCGTTCGACCCCCAAAGGGGTCGCGATCCACAGGTTGAGAACTGCTGCCCTAAACAAACTTTTTAGGTGCCTGCGGCCGGGAAGGCTGGAGTTTCAGGTGTTCGTGGGTTCACAGCTGAGGCAGCTGGTCCCTGGGTGTTGTGGTTGTAGGGACCCAGGAGGTATCAGAGGTCTCCCCGGTTGAAGGTGAGGCTGGGCTTCCCATCACAGCCGCTCTCCCCTTCAAGACGGCGCGGTCTCTGTGGCAGAGCCGGCTGCTCTGGGAGAGATTTCAGCGGTGGTAGAGGCTGCCCGGCCAGGGGAGCATGGTTTGCCAGTCCCCAACAGTCCTGTGGAATATAGTCCCTCACTCACGAATACAGACACTACCCCAGTCCACACACTCTCCTTTCGCTCTCTCACACACTATCTTGCAGCCTGTCGTCCCGCCATCTTGGATCCCCCAGAGTTCAGCTTTTCATGAGGAAGCGTTCTGAATTTGGATGGTGATGGAAGCACAATGATCTCTGTCCTTAGAGTTCAAGTTCCCCATGGGCCAGCCTCAGATCATCATCCAGCCCCATCTCCCTTGGACCCTCATTCACCTCTAGTTCAAGATCTCTACAACCCTGTTTGAACTTTTAACAGTATCACCTGTATTCACTCCCGCTCCTCACCAAGCACTCACCCCTCAATGTCCAACAGTTTAGCTCCTGCCACCTTCCTTCCCTTCCCCCACAAAAACCTGCCCCTGCCACATCACCAGTGGCCTCCTACGGACACTTTCCATTCCTTCTGTCACAACTGCTCACTGCAGCCTTCGGCACTGCTGAGCACATGCTTCCCTCCTGGGCCTGCACACTTCTGTTCTCCTACCTCCCTGACAGTCCCTGTTCATCTCATTCGGGGACTCTTTCCCAAGACTTGCCTGGACCTGCCATTTTTGTATTTCTGCTCAATCTCATCCCCCCTAATGATGATTAAAAACAAAATAAATAAACAAACAAAAACTCTCAGGCCAGCCATAGACCCATATACTCATGTCTTCAGGATATCTCCACCTGTTCCAAATTAGACTCCTCTTCCTCACCCAAGACCTGTTCTTCCCCTCTGTTCTCTAACACAATTGGTGGTGCAACCATCTATTCAGGCACCCACGCTATAAGTCAGGGTCCTCCTGGACTCTCCCTTCCTCTTAAAGTTCAACCAAGTCCTGCCATGTTCTTCTAAATTATTTCTCAAAGCATCCCCTCCCCTCTATCCCTGCTGCCATCCTAGTCCTTCCTCTCTCAGCTCCATTCCAATAACAGCCTCCTAACTGGTCTCCTCCCTTTGGTCTACCTCAGATCCACCAACACAACACCCCTGAAAAATCTTCTGGGTTCCTCTGTCCAGAATAAAATCCAAGCTCTAACCATGGGCTCCGAGTCTCTCCAGGATCATTCTTCCTCTAGAGCTGTCAAAACGGTATTTCTAAAAGGCCACAGTTGACACTCCCCTCACTTCTGCACCTGAGCCCTGCTGGTTCCCCTTCACTGCCTGGAACATTCAGCCCAGCCCCGCCTCCCTCACACTGACTGTCACCTGGCTAGCTCCTACAGCTCAGGGTTGCCTCCCAGGAGAGGCTGCCAGCCCAGGCCTGGGCTGCTCCCCGCTCTCCCTGCCCTCCCTGCCCTCCCTGCCACTCACCACATGCTTCTAGAACTTGATTTTGTCCTGTTTACCACCCTTGAGTTTACTCCCGAGTGTTCCCCCAGGAGCTGTGAGCTTCCTAAAATGTTGCTTTTTCCTTCCTGTGCCCCAGAGTCTAGTATATGGGGTCTGGTACACAGAGGTGCTGAATAAATGTTGAGTAAGTAGTTGAATAACGGAACAAAGTGACCTGTGTCTAACGCACACCTGTCATCTGCGGAGCCTCCAATTCCCAGCCCTCCAGCCCAGAGCTTGGCTCGCCGTGGGTGCTCAGTAAAAGTTGCCCATATTTTGTTTCCTGGATTAATCTGATTTAAGGTCATGTCTGGGGTAGTTTGAGGTGTGCTAGAAGGAAAGGGTCTGGATGCGGGAAACTTAGCCAAAGGAGAAGCGAGGGGTGCATGGCGGTGGGGGGAAGGGGCAATGGGGGTGTCTGGAAAGGTGGGAAAAGAGCTAAGTCCGTAGCCTTAGCCTGCTGTCCCTCGGTGCCCCGAGCTCAGCGGAATCAAGCCGGGCTAGTCCGCCTCCAGCCCCATCTCCCCATCACCCGGTGGCGGAGAACCCCGCTCCG